AACTTTCCACCAAGCCGTAAACACGCGAAAGTCTGTGACAAAACAAGAATTAGCAGCAGCATCTACGTATTTCTAAACGTAAATCTAGGATTGACGAGGCGCTTCAAAATGCAGGAGGCGTTTCAATCCCTCTGCGGGATCAGGAGCATCGCTGGATGCTTTGCACGATGAGTGCTACAGCTGGAAAACCTATAGTTAATAAATAAATAAAGGGAAAACCCACAACACATAAACCCCCAAACCCCACATGGAAATTGCTCGCTAAGCTACCAAACAGCAACGCAGGTATTTGTCATCCAGGGAACAGAGCGATTTGTCTTCAGTGTCTCATTAGTCAACAGAGGTTAACTAGCGAGCCAGTTAGTGCGTGTTCAAATCCAACCCATTTTCCTTTAAATATGTCTGAGCAGGAATCTGTCCGTTCGGGAATTGTGTGTGGGTTATTTCTAAAGCTCGGGCAGGATGGCCTCTGGCGTGGCAGGAGCTGCCCAGGAGCTGGGGGTGCCCATCCTTAACCGCATCCCCCCCGTTTGCTGGGAGAAGCTTCACAGCAAAAAAAAAAAGAAAAACCACTAAAAAACCACGGGATTTCGGTCCGGGATGAAACAAACGCATTCTTGTCATCACGCCTGTGTGAATGGCACGGTGAGGAAAGTGCCTACGTAAAAGGGAAGGGACCCGCATTGTTGTGCGGGTCTATTAACTCCTGCCGTGACCTCGAGGAGCTGCCACGCACCGCCCGAGGAGGGTCCGCAGCCCCCTCTCTCCCCATCCCTATTTTCTCCGTAAACACAACAAAACCCGACGTTTCAATTCGTGGATTTAATAAACGGCCAGACCGGTCCCGCAGCAAAAATGTGCACTTTGGAGAGACTTCCCGGAATATTGATGGTTTTTCGCTCCGTCAACCAAACGTTCGAGACGAGACCCGCTAAAACCGACCCGGCTCCAAAATAACAGTGACCCGAACGTGACGGGGTAGTGCACGAATGAACGACATTTGTTTTCCCGCAGCAAGTACGCTTTTTCAAACATCAACAACGTCGAAAAAAATATTAATAATAATAACAATAACAGGCGATTCGAGCAGAGGAGCGAGGAGTCGCCCAAAACGCTTCGGAAACCGCAGCAGTTAGAATACAAATACTATTTACCTTGTGATTTTTTCCTGCCCGGGACTGGCTTTATTGTCCCTCCCTGGACCAGCCCAGCCGCAGCCACGCTCCCTCCGTGCCGGGCTCTTTGCTGCCGGGCTGGTGCTGGGAGAGATTTGGGGGGGGCTGCTTTCATTCTTACATTAGGACTAGTTTAATTTGCAATCTGTCAGTCCATCTCCTGGCTGGGGCTCTGAGATGGCAGTGTGTGGCTCTCTCCCTCCTCTCTCCCTGCACAGCATTTACTCACGTTCAAGAGCAGCCAACAGAGACCAAAAAAAAAAAAAAAAGGAACTAATTGAGCTTGTGTCGGTATTGGCTAATTTCTGCTAATACTCTGTAAATTCCTTTTTGCTTCTTAAGCTTCCCCCACGCAGGTTAGGTGTTCCCAAAGCCTCTCTGGAGCTCCAGGAGCCGCTTTCTCAGCCCTGATGGGTGGCTGGGCTTCAGCGCCTGGATGCACACAATGCAAACCTTAACTCCTGGCTCCAGAAACGGTTAAATTGCCCTTTCCCAGCCCCCACCCCCGTTATGATTGACTCTGTTTTTAAATTTGCACTTGTTCCCACCAAGCGCAATCTAACTCGTCCTGTCTCTAAAGTGAACTTGTGTTGAAGGTGAAGTTTTCTATATAGAGGTCACGACACCGAGGCACAGCTTACCGCTCCGAGCTTCATGCTGTATTAAACACAATCAAAACGAACCCCTTTTAGACCTTTTTTTTCTTTTTTTTTTCTTTTTTTTTTTTTTTTTTTTTTTTTCCCCCTTCCCCCCCCCCGGGGGAAAAATGAGGAAAAAAAAAAAATCTCTTAAATATAATAAAATCAGCTCTGTCACGATAACAAACGCGCTCCTGGGCTCGCTCTGTGCCGGGTCCCTTCCTATGGAACACAAACACACCGCACCCCGCGCTGGGTTGGAGCTCTTAAAGGGGAACGTGCGGGGTTGGTGCGGGGACAGCCCACCCTGCCCCGAGCGTGGGGGACACCGAGGGGACACCACGCACCCGGGTGACCCCAGAAAGTCCCGGTCCCGCCTGTGCCGGGGGGACTCCACACAATCCCTGCACTTCAAAGCGGGGGGTTCTCTCCAGCGACTTCTCGCTGCCCCAGGACGGGGCTGCCTCCCGCTATTGTGCGAGCTTTTTCACGCCAAAGATTTAGCAGGAAAAAATAGATATTAAAGCGAGTTATTTGTTAGGCAAACGCGGGTCTCTCCGGGGCGGGGGCACCCGGAGCCGAAGGGCTGGAGCGCACGGTCCGAACCCAGAAAGTTTTTTTAAATTTTTTTTTTTAAATTAAAAAAAAAACTTTAATGGGTTTCGGTCTATGAAAAATAAGTTACAAATTCTTGCAACAGTAGCTTTGCATGTACTTATTTTTCTCCCATGTCCAGACGGGGTCGGCTATTGAATAAGGCTCTTTTATTCTGCATGGGGCAGGGGATTTGTGGCCATGGTCCCCCTTTTATTCCTCTCTCTATGGAAACCCAGATCATGGGGAGAAATATGCGAGGCTGAATAAAGAAAAGCAGCAGAAAGGACCGCTTGAGAGCGGCATCTGTTACACTTGGGAAGTTAGACTGACAGGAAAGAGCTAAAGAAACCCTCTCCAGCAGATTAGTTAGAACAGCAAGAAGATTTAACTATATGCAGATAAAAACACTATAAAATCCACCATACTCTGCTCTAGGCGAGGTGAGAGCCGCCTCGGCAGGAGCGGAGCCGGGCTCTGCCTTAGCTACATTTGCAGCAAAGATTAAAATGGGACGTTCGGGGTTTTATTTCCCTGCTAGAGACTCTGCCTTAATTAAACGGCGGATCTGAACATCTATTTTCACGGGCGATGGGATTTGAAAAATTGTTTCGGAAGTTAAAGTGCAAATTAATTTTAAATAATTTAGTTACGTTTTTATACAGTGCGGATTTGATGTTGTTGGGTTTTTTTTTTTGGTTGGTTGGTTTTTTTTTTTTCTTTTTTTTCCTCCCTTTTTCCCGCGGGCTCCTGTGATGTTTATTTCGAGGAGCTTGTGAAGGCGGAGAGTGGGGGAAAAAAAAAAAAAAAAAGGAAAAAAAGGGAAAAAAAAAAAAAAGAAAAAAAAAAGAAAGAGAAAAAATGAAAAGGCTAAAAAAACCCAACCAACCAACAAGGAAAAGGCTGCTGGTATAACTCTTTCCCTGCCCTCCCAGCGCTCCGCCGGGCTCGGCCGCGGTGCTGCGCGCCCCGCACCGCCCGCACACTCCGGGCGGGGAGCGGGGCTCCGACAGGGATATTCCCATTCCCGAACCCCCCCCCCACCCCCCCCCCCCCCCCCCCCCCCCCCCCCCACCGCCGCCGCTCTACCCGCAAACTTCATTTTTTATTTACTTTGCCTTATTTTTTACGTGTTTCCCCAGCCGCTCCCCCCTCCCCGCACCCCCGCGGGTGCGCAGCGCGGCGGTGCCCGCCGGGGACCCGCAGCCTCCCCGATATATCGCGATCTGCCTCCAGCCACGCAGCCCGCTCTGCTCCTTCACCACCCAGCCCTGCCTTTACCCCTCTCGCACGCTGCCCCGGCGAGAAATTATTGTGATTATTATTATTATAATGAGCAAAGCGATGGGACCCGGCTCGGAAGGAACCAGAGGAGAGCTCACCTTATTTAGATCTATTTTCTCATTTTCTTGAATTTTCTTCAGATCTGTCTTCTCAGAGAAACTAATGCCTTAATGACTTTCTGGTAGCTGCAAGCCTTCTTTTATTTCTGCTAAATATATGAAAATGTATGCAAATTTAAATCAAGCTTAACCTAGGAGCTCTTGCAATATATTTAATGGAATTTCAAACCAATAAGGGGACTCTGATGCAGTCTTCTGGAAGTGCAAATATAATTACGCAGCTCGGTTACCTCCGAAACGATGCGGGGAAAGGTCATTTTGGAACTCGGGAGCGGGTCGGGGGGTCCCGGGACTTCTCCTCCGCCCGCCCCGCCGGGGCTCGGGGGGTGCGGGGCTGTGCCCGGCGGGCCCTGCCGAGCCGGGGGGCCCGGAGCCGCCCCCCGGGGGGTGCCTGGGCACCGCACGCGCCTTTTCCCCCCGTTATTTTCCCTTTTCTGGCGTTTTTTTGCCCCTTTTTCCCGTTTCGCCCCGCAGCCCGCCCGCCGGGCGCGCACCGCTCCCGTGCGCTCCGCGCCGCCAACTTTGAGAGACACCAGCGGGATGTACCGGCGGCGGGGCCGGGGGAGCTCCTTTTGGGGCTGCTTTTTATTATTTTGGGGGTTTCTGAGTTTTCTTTCCCGACGGAGCGCGGCGGCCCGGGGGGGGAAGGAGGGGGCGGGCGGGCACGGGCAGCCCGGGGCGGCAGCACCGCAGGAGGAGCGGAGCGGGCGCTGAACTCCCGGAGCCCGGCCCGGCGTGCGGGGGCAGCGGCGGGGGCAGCCCCGGGGTGGTCCCGCAGCGCGGCCGCCCGGGCGCCGCCGTTTAACCTCTGCCGCGCTCTCCCCCGGCGCTAATCGCTCCCCATTTAAGCCGTGCCCCCCACGCCTCCCCTCCCCTCCCCGTTCCCATCGCTCCCCCGCTCAAGCCGTGCCCCCCGAAGCCCCCCCGGTGCCCGCGCGGCGCGGAAGGAGTTAACGCGGCGGGGCCGCCTCGCGCCCGGCCCCCGGTGCCGGCGGAGTGATTCACTTCCTGCCTCGCGCCCGCGCGGCGCCCCGGCCCCGCCCCCCTCCGCCTCGCCCCGCCCCCGCGCCGCTCCCATTGGGCGGCGCGGGCGGCGGCGCGTCGCCATTGGGCGCGGCGGGTGTCAGTCAGCGCGCGGCCGCCGCCGGCCCGCCGTGCCGCTGGATGTCAAAGCCCGGCGCGGCGGCGGCCGCTCAGTATAACTCGTGGGGCTGCGGCGGCCATGGCCACAGCCGCCTCCAACCCCTACGGCCTGCTGGGCGCCGGCGCGCTCGCCCACGCCGAGGGCGCGGGCATGCAGCAGGGCAGCCCGTTCCGCAGCCCGCAGAAGCTGCTGCAGAGCGAGTACCTGCAGGGCGTCCCGGGCAATGGGCACCCGCTGGGGCACCACTGGGTGACCAGCCTGAGCGACGGCGCGCCCTGGCCCGCGGCGCTGGCGGGCGGCCCGCTGGAGCAGCCCGACGTGAAGCCGGGCCGCGAGGACCTGCAGCTGGGCGCCATCATCCACCACCGCTCGCCCCACGTCTCCCACCACTCGCCCCACGCCAACCACCCCAGCGCCTGGGGGGCCAGCCCGGCGCACAGCGCCTCGCTCGCCGCCCCCCCCGCCGCCGCCGCCGCCGCCGCCGCCGGGCAGCCCCTCGGCGTGTACTCGCAGGGCGGGTTCGCGGTGGGCGGGATGCTGGAGCACGGCGGGCTCACCCCGCCGCCCGCCGCCGCCGCCGGGCAGGGCTTGCACCCGGGGCTGCGCGGCGAGGGCGGCGGCGAGCACGGCGAGCTGGGCGGCCACCACTGCCAGGACCACTCGGACGAGGAGACGCCGACCTCGGACGAGCTGGAGCAGTTCGCCAAGCAGTTCAAGCAGCGCCGCATCAAGCTGGGCTTCACCCAGGCCGACGTGGGGCTGGCGCTGGGGACCCTCTACGGGAACGTCTTCTCGCAGACCACCATCTGCCGCTTCGAGGCCCTGCAGCTCAGCTTCAAGAACATGTGCAAGCTGAAGCCGCTGCTGAACAAGTGGCTGGAGGAGGCCGACTCCTCCACGGGCAGCCCCACGAGCATCGACAAGATCGCGGCGCAGGGGAGGAAGAGGAAGAAGCGGACCTCCATCGAGGTGAGTGTCAAGGGCGTGCTGGAGACGCACTTCCTCAAGTGCCCCAAGCCGGCCGCCCAGGAGATCTCGTCGCTGGCGGACAGCCTGCAGCTGGAGAAGGAGGTGGTGCGGGTCTGGTTCTGCAACCGGCGGCAGAAGGAGAAGCGCATGACCCCTCCGGGGGAGCAGCCGCAGCACGACGTGTATGCCCACGGCGTGAAAACGGACACGGGCTGCCACGACCTCTGACCGCGGTCCGGCCGCGGGACTGCCCTCGGGGCTTTAACTTATGCTTTCGGGAGTCGCGGCGCGGGGTCCCCGCCCGCCGCCGCCTCGGCAATATTTTTATTCCTCTCTCCGACCTTCCCGCTGGTCACACACGGTGTTTACTCGCAGACAAGGTTTGTTTTTCGGGCTCCGCTTGGACGAAGGAGAAAAAAAAAAAAAAAAAGAAAAAGCGAAAAAAAAAAAAAAAAACAACCCACCCGACCACACGACAAAAACAAAACCCAAACGGAAAGGAAAAATAGAGAGAAAGAAAAAAAAAAAAGGAAAACCCACGGGAAAAAAAAAAAGAACATTAAAAAGAAAAACAAAACAAAAACAAACACAAAACGAAAAACCCGACAGAAAAGGAAAGACAGATGTGTGCCTATGAATAACCTTCCAGCGCCTTGGTTATATCAGCTGTATTTCAGGTGAATCTGTTTTACAATAGACTAGTTTTGCATTTTTAAAGACTTATATAGCGTTTTTAAATGTCTGAGGTGTTTTACTACAAACTGTACACAATATTTGTGACCTAATTTGTACCGAATCGAGCAGTCAAAAGCGTTTCTCCCTTGCCCACGCCACCGGCAATGTCACCCAGCGGGGACAGGGCAGGGCGGCCGCGGCCCTTCCTCGTCCCCCCCCCGAGGACACGGGGGTCCCTCCGCACCCGCGGAGCCCCCGCACCGATGTGAAGAACAGGCTTATTTGTTGCAGCTTTTTTCTTCCTTTTTCAAGAACTTCCCAACACCGTAAAACGGTCGGGTCACAATCCTGACCTCCCCCCCCCCACTCTTCTCCCAAGGAAAAAAATATTATATATATATATATATATAAAAATAATTATTTCTAAGAGATTTACCCGAAATTAAGCGTCACAACCAAACCCGTGGCATTTGCCAGTCTTTTTTCTTTCCGAAGATGAGTTGGGCTTTTTGATCAGCGCCAGACTGAGAGGTCTGTAGTAAAACACCTTTATCCTTCTGCGCTTTGGCTTCGGAAATTGGTTTCTCTGTATTTTGTTTCGATAGTGAAGAGGAATGAGGTGTCTCATGAATTTCGGGGAGCCGGGGGGGAGGGAGAGAGGGATTGGGACAGAAAACACCCGCATTTGGTTCACGCTGAGCTTCTTTCCGTGTCACAGGGAGATGCTGGATTTGTGGAAAAGCTTTTATGGGAGGGGGGTGGTGGGGGGAGGAAATATAATCAGCGACAAAACGAACAGGGAGAAAAAAAACCAAAACAACAAAACAAAGTCAGTAAAATGCTAAACGCAGAACCCTTTTTTGGGCGCTGGGAGGTGCAGAGCTGTAACCACCCCCTCTCCTCGCCCCTTCTTGGACACAAGGACGGGGGTGCAGCGCCCACGCACCGACCCACGGGGGGAATTGGGTGGGTGGGTGGGTGCTCCCGCACCCCCCGGGGCCGCCGGGCAGGGCCGGGCTCCCCCCGCACCCGGGACCCCCCCGCACCCGGGACCCCCCACAGCCCCCCCCCCCCCCCCCCCCCCCCAGGATTTTTTTCTTTCCACATTTATATTTTTTAAGTATTTTTCAGTAAGCGCTAAAAAAAAAAAAAAAAAAAATTAAGGAAAAAAAAAGAAAAAAAAAAGAGAAAAAAAATAACTCGACACTGAGGACCTGCCTATTTCTGCCAACTTTATAACTGTACAGTTTTGTATATTAAACGTTTTTTGGAAGTTATTAATTTAAAGAAAGATCATTTAGTTTATTCATTTAGTAACTGATGTATAATAAACGCTATTTTCATTAAAGGTTGCTTTTTTCAACTATTTTATCCAAAATTGCCTATTGCAGTTGCCAACAATTATTTATTTTCAATAAATTCCGCATTATGTTTAAAAAAAAAAAAGAGAGATAAAAAAAAAACGTTTCGGAGAGAAACGACAAAAAAAAAATAAAAAGCCTAAATGAGTGTCAGATAAAAATAATAATGAAACACACGAGTGGCTGTAACGTTTGGTTGTCGACCAGTTTTAGTCAAGGGGTTTATATTGACGCAATATTTTATTGTTGTAAAAGGAGAAAAAAAAAATTAAAAAAAAAAAAGTTTAAATAAACATTTTTACGAAAGAAAAAGAAAATAAGACGGAAAGCTCCGGGTGCGTGGTTTGTGCGGTGGCCGAGCCGCGGTGCGGGGGGTGCGGGGGCTCCTCGGAGGGGGCTCCGCATCCCCGGGCAGGGCCGGTGCCCTCGGGGCAGGGGGTCCGCGGGGGCTCATCCCGGTGGTGCCGGTTACACCTGCCGCGGGAAAGGCGGTTTTTTGGGGGGGTCGAAAAGGCGCTTTCGGGGTGGAGAAAGGCCCTTTATGGATGGAAAAGGCGCTTTTGGGGGCGGAAAAAGGGCTTTGCGGCTTTTTCGGGGGTGGCGGGGCCGGGCGGGCGAGTGAACATAAACAGAGAGCCGCGTGTGCGTGCGCGGATTCTGTCGGTGTCTGTGCATCTCTGGTGATGTGGAGCGGCAGCAGCGCTGCCCCCGCCTCGCCCCCCGCGCCCCCCCCTTCCGTCCCCCCCCCCCCCCCCCCCCGCCCCCCCCGCGGCCCGGGCCCCCCGCCCGGGGCCCCCCCCCCCCCCCCCCCCCGAGCCGAGGCACGGAGGAAGTTTCTTTTGTTCCACGCTCGCCGGGCCGCGGGGGCTCCTCCGGCCGCCCCCCGCTCCCCCCGGGCGGGCGGCGGAACAATAACACTCCATCAGGGCTAACGGGGTGAGACGGGGCGGCCCCGGCCCCGCCGGCTGCTGGGGGAGGCAGGCGGGCAGCACGACTTCAAGGGATCGGCAGCGAAGCGGCCTTTTCTTTCTTTCTTTTCGCCTCTCTGAGGCCGAACCTCGGAGAAAACAATACCCAGCCCTTCTGCCAACAGTTCAGGGGGAGAAAATTACCTTTAGGAATCCTGAGGAGCGACCCGAGCAGGGGGAGAGCTCTTGTCTTCAATAGCCAGCGAGCGGACAGGCGCCTTCCCAACAACCCGGCCGTCCTGTACCTGGGAGCGAGAGGGATTTGGGATGTAAACAGCGGGCGAGGCTTTGTTTCTTAACCGTAAAACTGATTTATTTCATTTGTAAGTCTTGGCGAGCTGCAGCACCGCAGCTTTGGGGACAACTGCCCCTGTGCTGGGCAGCAAAGCCCCCACAGAGGGACCACAACCTCCAGCTCTCTCCGAAAGGATTACAGCAGCAGGAGAAGGAAATATAACCCCCAAAAGCACGTTTTTCAGTGAACTGCAGGAACAGGATAAATGCACACCGGGGACCAAACCAGGAGTAAACGGCCGCGGTTTGGAAACAACCCCAACTGAGGACACGGATGAAAAGCTTCAGGTTAAAACATGCCCTGCGTGGTCACTCTGGCTCTGAGCACGCAGGGTCCTGAGAGGCAAAGCTCTTGAAGGCAGCCTTGGTTTGGAGGAGGGACAGAAGGCGTTTCACTGAAATTAGCCTGTTTTAGAGCCCTTTGGCTGCTCTGTAAATACAACCACAGCGAGGGCTGGGCTATGTCTTATTTTAAAACAAATTAGGTTAAGAGACAAAAGAGATGCAATGAAAGACGAAATCAAGTAAGTTTATAAACAGGAGCACTTCAAAGGCCGCTGGAAAGCTGGGGAAAATAGGGAAGGAGAATTTTGCTTAAAGAAAAGAAAATCTCTGCTTGTTATTGCCCGTCGATTTCAGTGTTCTGCGAGCAAAAGGAAACTCTTTTGTGCCACCTAATGTTAAGTACAGATCACTGTTGTCTTCTTGGCTGCCCATCTTCCATGGTGTACGTGGGGAGGCCTCGGGGTGCTGAGCCCATGGAGGTGGAGCTCAGCATCCCAAAGTCCCACCAAACCAAGGGCAGGGAGAGAAACTTCAGCTTCGCAGTGGCGGAGCAGGTTACCTTCCAAATTTAGGAGTTTTTCCAAAAAAGAACTCAAGAGGGGGTGGAAAGAAGCACGGGGTAGAATCATAAGAATGAGAGACTCCAAATTTGGTCTTTGTTATAATAGGGTAACTCCAGGAGGAGCATATCCAGGGTTTATATAAGCTGCCCACCACCAAGGATCCATCTCAGCAGCCTCTGGGCTTGCAGCAGCTTCTCCCTCTGCTCTCCTCAAGGACCCGAGTGGCCTGGCCTTTGCACAGCCATGTCTCCCAGCTGGAGGAATTTTGGTGTGTATTTAGCAGCCATTCACACTAATTTAGTAGAGAAATACCTCACACAATCCTTTAAAAAAAGGATTGAAACAAGCATTTTGCTGATAACGATAAATTACACCGGTTTTGTGATTTTAGTGGAGAGCACTAAACATCTTAAGCAGTTTTTGAGGTTGAATCTTCTCTGCTTTTCATATTATACAAAAAGAAGAGAACCAGAGGCTTTCTTTGGGTTTAAATTTCAAATATTTGTAAGCTGTGTTCTCCTCCTCTCTAAAGAAGGCCAGGACATAGGAGGGGGTTCTTTTCAAAGCAAAAAGGAAGCAGAGATGCCATTTCACTTTCTATTGGTCGTTATAGATCCTTCAGAATATGGACCAATATACCAACATTTGACCAAGATGCTTTTAAAATCCCTCAAAATTTGGTACTTTGAGTTTTTCTTTCTGTGTTTTTAAGTAGCAGTTCCCTTGGTTCAGGCAGAGCAGACTAGAGCAACCTGGTCCTCTTGGGCCATGTACCAAAATCCCCACTGGCTTTAGGGCAGATCCACATGTGGATGGAGGCACATTGAAAACCTAAGTCCTTACCCCAGGAGCATGTGGGTCTGGGGGTGGATGCCCTTCAGTCAAGGGTCTGATCCCAAAACCCAGACAAAATTCATTGCTTTACTCACCAGAGCAGCTTCCTTGGAATCCAGTGAGCTCTCCATGCAGATGGAATTATTCATTTGTCTTTGCACAATCGAATTCCGAGATTCCAGCCTAGAAAATATATATATATATATATATATACACAATATTTCAGGCAGGTGATCAGTCCTGCTGATCCCCTAAAAGCCCCAGACATCAGGGCCTACATTTGTACTCACTTTCCCCTTTTCCTAGAGTCCTGTAACCAATAGACTGGAAAGGCTCCACAGCAATTACATATTTAGGATATGTGATAGCTGCAGTTAAGATCTTTACGACTGATTGCAGGATAAAATTTACTTCAAATGTGCAAGAGCCCATTTTTAAACCTCAGTCTTTCAGCTGCTTTCCATTAGAGATATTCCGAAGAATCAAAAGCAATTAGGGTGTACAAAGTCT